AGTTTCAGCCTCTGAAAACCTGCTGGAGGGCCGGCTAAGAGTCAGTTTGGACTCGACAGTACATAAAAACAGTAACATGTATCTGTGTGTCTCTGTGTGTATGCATATATGTACATGTTGTTGTTGTTAGGTGTCGTTGTTGAGTACGACTCATAGCTGTCCTCTGAACCCTGTCCCGCACCTCCTCATCATCTCGGACATACCTGATCCTGTTACAACAGTCACTGTTTGTCAGTCCATCTTGTTGAATGTCTTCCTCACTTTCACTGGTTTTCCGCCTTAGAGATGTTGACCCCCTCCCTCTGCCCTACTCAGGACGCAATGAGCCCCTGAAAAAGGAGCGGCTAAAGTGGAAGAGTGACTATCCCATGACTGATGGGCAGCTGCGGAGCAAGCGGGATGAGTTCTGGGACACAGCACCTGCCTTCGAGGGCCGCAAGGAGATCTGGGATGCCCTCAAGGCTGCCGCCTACGCGGCTGAGGCCAACGATCATGAGTTGGCACAGGCCATCCTGGACGGAGCCAGCATCACCCTGCCTCATGGTAAGTGGGTAGGGCTGAGGCTTTGTCCTCCCTGGCGTGAGGGGGCTATTCAGGTCCTAGTGGCCAGCCACGTACCTACTATAAGCCAGCCACATACCAACCATAAGCCAGCCATGAGTTCCTATCCAAATCTGTGGGTGGGTGAGGGCCAAGGCTGATACAGGGGTGTGTGAGAAGTGTCGGCAGTACAGTGGTTGAGCACTTGGCTACTAACTGAAAGGTTAGTGGTTCCAGCCCATCAGCCACTCTTTAGGAGAAAGTTATTCCAATCTGCATCTATAAAAAGACTTAAGTAGTTGAGTCAAAGTAGACTCTCGGCTGACCCTCCTGTGACTTTTCAGAGGCGGTAGGTTGCTTGGGAAGAGATTGCGCATCTCTTTCCCACATGGTGGTGGTTTCAGATCACATGCCTTCAGGGTGGCAGCGCAGCTCCTTACCACTCAGCCATCAGAGCTCCCTTTGTACAACCTTGTAAATCCAGTGGGAGCGTTGTCTGTCCTAAAGGGTCTCAGTGTGTTGGAATAGACTTGACAGCAATGGATGTTGGTGTGTGACTATTTGCATTTTCACTCAGACAATCCTTACTGAGCTGGGACCAGCACCAGGGTGCAAAGGAAAGAGATCTACAGCCCCTGTGTGTCCAGTGAGGACAGAAAACACACCATGGAACCTGCAACTAGAGATTGCTCAGTGCTTTGGGATCTCAGAACACCTGGGGTCCTGATCTTATCATGTGCTTTCTGTGTACTAGGCAGCAAACTAGATGCTCCTGCTGCTTAATCATTTCAGTTCATAATGGCCTTCTGGGGCTTGTCTGGTCAAGACTAAGAGTAGAACCTCCAGTGTTACAGCCTTGAGTTTTGACTTGAATATCACTGTCTCCTAGCTATGTGACCTTCAGCAAAGAGCTGCTCAGATTTAGAGCTTCAATAGCTTCAGTGGTGAATACTACACATAGGAGGAGCATTACACTCCAAACAGTACACATTGTCTAGTGCAGGGCACTGATAAACATCCAAGACCCAGTCATTGTATTTCTGCATGTAGCTTGCATTCATTATACAAGCAAGGAAATAGAGGTCCACTAAGGTGGTTTTGGAATCCTTGAATAGCACAAATAGCTACTTAAGCACGTGGCTACTAACCAAAAGTTTGAACCCACTTAGAGGCTCCTCAGAAGAAAGGTACGGCAGTCTGCTGCTAAAAGGCCTTAGCCTTGAAAACCGTGTGGAGCCATTGTGCACATAAGGTCATCAAGAGTTGGAACTAACTCACTGGTAGCTGGGTAGGACTGGGTCTCTGGGAGTCAGGATCTGACTTAAGAGTGGCTTACAACAACAAGGGCAGAAGTCACTGAGAGCAGGGCCTGTGCCATTTCAGCCATCCCTGTATCCACGGGTCCCAGCGCAGATGCTCAGAAAGGAAATGTTGAATGAACACAGGAGAAATTCTTTTCTGGGGTTGAGAGAACTAGTACATGAGGGAGCCAGGGTAGAAACACAGACCTTCCTGAGCCAGGCTCCTCCAGGCATCAGGTGGCCCCTCACAGGTCTGACTATGGTGTTCAGAGGGCCATGCAGTGGGCCTCAGCACACACTGACCCCCTTGTCTCTCCCCAGGCACCCTCTGTGAATGCTACGACGAACTGGGCAATCGCTATCAGCTGCCCATCTACTGCCTGTCGCCCCCCGTGAACCTGCTGCTGGAGCATGTGGAGGAGGAGAACGTGGAGCCCCCTGAGCCCACTCCCAGCGTGCGCCGCGAGTTCCCACTCAAGGTGCGCTTGTCCACAGGCAAGGACGTGAGGCTCAGCGCCAGCCTGCCAGACACGGTGGGCCAGCTCAAGAGGCAGCTGCACGCCCAGGAGGGCATCGAGCCATCCTGGCAGCGATGGTTCTTCTCCGGGAAGCTGCTCACAGACCGCACGCGGCTCCAGGAAACCAAGATCCAGAAAGATTTTGTCATCCAGGTCATCATCAACCAGCCCCCGCCGCCCCAGGACTGATGGGCCCATGGACCCGTGGGGAGAGAGGCCAGGGAGGGCCTCCACGGGGGCCGAGAGGCCTCCTGCCTGGAGCACTAGGCCCTCACCCTGCTGCTGCCTTCAAGTGCTGTTACTTCTTGAGGGGCACCTCTCCGCTGGATGGCTGCTGGGCGAGCCGGCAAGGAGCCCCACCTCCTGGGGCATATGGGTCCCAGTGCCCGGCACCCAGGAAGCAGTGCTGCCACACACAGGCCTTGCCAACCTTGGTCGAAGAAAAGGCAACAGGGCCCTCCACCCTGCACCTGTCCCAAGGCAGGTTCAAGCCACGAGGTTGGCCTGGATGCCCCGGAGCCCAGACCTGCCCTCTGGTGCTGCCAGCTGCACCCACTCTGGTTTCTGCTCAGGGTCTGAAGCAGCTGCTGTCTCCTGCCCCTGCCCCAACCCTGACTCTGCCCTGGGTACAGTGCCAGTCCCCTGGAGGGGAGGGGACCAACAGTGGGTCCCAGGGCTTGGGGAGTTTGAGGCGGGCCTCTGCCTCTCCCTGTCCCCAGCACAATTGGCAGAGAGGAGGCAGTGGCCAGACAGCTGGGCTATTGCAGCAGGCGATCTGCATAGGGCCATCTCCCGGCTGTAACCCTGGTGGTGGTGGGGTCTGCAGCCTGGTTGTGGCTCAACAGCAGGTTCCGGTCCACAGACACTATCTGCATATTTATCAATAAAGCCTTTTGCTCCTTCTCATTGGCCTGGCACTTGACTTTGAGTTCTCCTGCAGCTTTGCGGCGCCCAGAGAGCCAGGGCCGGTTTCCAGGAACAGCTCCAGTGTGGGTGTGGGAAGTACAGCACCTCCCAGCTGCTCCAGTGAAGCTTGTGCTCACTGGAGTGAGCCCAGATCCACCTCAGAAAAAGCCACTTAACCTCTGACCTCACTTTGCTTAGCTTTTACGTGGGGAAGAGGGAGCCTGTGCTGCTTCCTTCATTGTTAGAGGATTAAATGAGGTAACAGACGTGCAAGTGCTTTGAGAACACAGGCAGCAGCCCTTCAGGAAGAAGGCACTGGATGCCTGTTGGTCTGTGCCTGCAGTGGGAGGGGCTGGCAGCAGGACAGAAGTATGTATGGAAATTACCAAGCCTTCAAAGCAAACAGACAAATGGAGATTATGAGCACAGGTCAGCGTTTGTGCGGAGCTTGCCAGCAAGGGGAGCAGAGAGAGAGAAACCAGTTGCTCGTGCTTCCTTAAGGGACTATGGTCATTAAAAGGAGGAACCAGAGATAAGGTTGTTTATCCAAAAAGGGCGCTCAGTTTAACAGACCTGTAGGCTGTAGAGTTTTATGTAAACCTGGGTCATGATGACCTGGGGCTGGCTCACCCCAAGAAATTCCAGGTATGCAACCAAGGAAATAAAAGCCTGCTTTTCCTCTGGTTTGCAGTGTTTTTCTTTCTCAGTGGGTGTGGCACCCGTGAGCCTGGCAAGGAGATGCTGACAGAAAAGGACAATCAACAATGAATGAGTGGAAGCCCAAAATCTCTGTAAATGTTTATGAAAATTAATAAAATATAATTATAGAAAGGAAAAAAAAAAAGAAAAGGACAATCAGGGGCTGGTGGTCCTTGCCAGCTAGGCTCGACTCTGCACACTGGCCCTCACAGGAACATCTGTCCGTCCTGCAGAGGCCCCCAGAACCCTCATGAGGCAGTGACTGATGGATGAATTAGAGCTGTTCACGACTGAAGAGCACACACAAAACACTGATAGTTCAGTGGTAAAGCTGCTAACCAAAAAGCTGGCTTTTCAAGCCCACCAGTGAGGTTAAAAACTCCTGACAGTGTGGAGGAGAGGAAGACCCTCAACAAGATGGATTGATTCAATGTTTGCAGCAATTGTGTAAATGTGCTGGGATAATAGGAATGACATAGAACAGGACAGGCTTCATCTTGTTCATCAGGTCGCTAACAACGACATCTGCAGCCCAGGGAGCCCTGTGGAGCAGCTCTGTTCTCTCATACAGAGTAACTGAGTCTGAATCAACTGGGCCAGGTGGAGAGAACACACAGCCAGGTTCACTGGTTTGCCACTAGGGGGTGCAGTGAGACCCCAGAAACAGACCAGCCCCAGCTGTGGGCAGCCATTGGCAGCTGCTCATTTTCTCAGCCATCCTGGCATTCTGACTCTGGCAAGGCAGAGCCTGGCCCTCCCCATAATCAACAGGGCCTGTCCACAAGGCAGCCTGGGGTGCAGGCCCTTCTTGGGTACCCACATAAGGTCCCCTCCGTGGCAGTGGTTGGCTGATGTTTTCAGGTGCCCAGCAGGTGACGCTGCCATCCCAGCCACAGGCAGGCAGCCAACAGGCCCCAGTGCAGCCCCATGGCCTGGCATGCAGGACAGAGGCCGAGCAGGCTCCTTCCTACAGCTTCTCGGACGCTTCCCCCCACCCCCAGTAGACCAGGGCTGGTGGGGGCAGCTGTCCCTGCTCCCTGGGGCTGCCCGAGGTGAAGGTGACAGGTGGGGGAGGCAGGTGGAGAATTGGGCCGGTGAGCTCATGGCAAAGGCGCCCAGCTGGGCGGGGGTGGGAGCTCTGTCCTATAAAGCCCCTGCAGCTCCTCATCCCACAGAGGCGAGTCAGGGACGACACCATGGCGGACTCCGAGGCGGTGCAGAGGGCCACAGCGCTCATCGAGGAGAGGCTGGCACAGGAGGAGAGCCAGGTGCGCCCAGGGGCTGTGGGGTGAGGACAGCAGCTCGGCTGTTGAGGGAGGGGAAACCAGCTGCCCCTCCAGTGGTGCCCGTTCCTGCTCCAGGGTACCTCCGAAGCTTTAACTCATGAACTGAGGGACATAGGGTGGGGGACCCAGGCCAGGCTCCCTGGAGACCACCTGGGTTTGGGGAGATCAGCTAGATAGCATTGCACTGCCTGAGGATGGATGGCAGGAAGCCTGGACTTGGAGGTCCCCCAGCTGCTGAAGAGGAAGTTGGAATGGAGAAGAATACAGATAGGAACGGGAGTGGGAGTGTGGACTGTTCCCAGGAACACAGGCCATAGCCTGGGAGGCCTTTGGACATTTTCTTTCTTCTGGGATAAAGAGACCCGAGGTGCTGGCTTGCCTTTTCATTCAGTCTAAATGAATCTTTGGCCAAGGGTGCTGAGTGGTTGGGAGGGTCAACAAGTCCAGAGCCTGTATGCTCCCGAGCAGCTCAACATTCGCCTTAACTGGCATTTGTCAGGTGCAGAGTCAGCTCAGAAACAAGGATGAGAGGAGAAATGGTTGGTTATCCCTGGGGAGTGGAGCCATGGCTGGAATGAGAAAGTCTGGCTAGATAGAGATGCTCAAGCATAAGAATGGCAGAATCATCCCACGGGGACATCCAGAATGTCTCTGGCTAGGGCAGGTCTCTGGCATCTGTCATCAGGCCCTTAAAGGACAGTGTCTAGAGATCAGAAGCAGGGTGGGTACTCAGGAAATGACAGCAAAATTTCTAGAGAGTGGAGACATGGCTGGAATGAGAAGGTCTGGGGCTAAGACTGGGAAGGGAGGCAGGGACAGGTCAGGAAGAGCCATGGAAGACAAAGAGATTCATTCATTCACTCAGTTCTGTGGCAGTAGGGAGCCATCAAGTGTTGTTGAGGGAGGGAGAGTGTGTTTTAGGAAAGGAGCTTTGATATCTCTGAGGGAGACTTGGAGAGAAAAAAGGAGGAGAAGGGCTGGGAGGGAGGGTAGATTGGTCAGAAAGGGCTTGACTGAGACCTCCTGCCTCTCCAGGAATCCTCCCATCCTTCAGGGGAGGTGTGCACATGGGCTGGGGGAATCAGGCAGGTGAGTCATGTCTGGGGAGCTGCCACAGGACAGGGTACCTTCAGCCAGGGGACGTGGGCAGTCCTCATCCATTCATTCATCCTACAGATAGAGCTCTCCTTCCTAAAGGCCCCCGGAGGCCACCTCCCACCCACCACCTGCATGGGCTAAGCCTTTTTACAGTCCTTCCCTCGTTTAAGCTGAACAACAATCTATAAAGTAGGAGTGGGAGTTTTCTTTTGTTTCCATAAACAGCATCCACTGTGTACCACTTGAAACGGCAAATCTGAACTGAGGAGTTCAAGAGTCCCCCTGCCCTATTGTTCACAGCAGGCCCCAGCCCAGCAGTGCTCTGGGAGAGGAGGGAGGTCCTGGAGGCCAGTCGAGGGCTAAGGCTCTCTTGTGGAGTCAGGCTGTCATCACTGAGGACCCAGGAGTAGGCAGAGATGCTGAGCTACCTCCGGGTATCCACTCATCCATCTACTCACTCACCAAGCACCTGTGTGTGTGAGGGTCTGTCACAGGTGCTAGGGAGTCTATGATTCTGTAGACACAAGTCCTACCCTGTAGAGGCTCCATGTGAAGCCCCGTTAGGGTCAGCCAGGGTCTCAGATACAGCAGTAGGCGTGGTCTCAGCTCATTCTTTGTCTTTAGAAATAAATGCAGTGTTCAAGGTGCGCCAGACCTGGCCAGGAGGCCCTTCAAAGTGAAGATCTGAGCCATCAGCCGTGCACATCACCCTGAAGAGTGTAACACTAGAGCGCAGTGAGAAATGAGAAAGGCAGTAAGCTGTAAAGGTGGCCGTTCCTCCCCAGCTGCCACCTCGATTCTGCTCGCTCCAGGCGTGGGCTCACTGCCATGAAAGCCCTTCACAGGGGACAGGGTGCCAGCTCTTTGCAAAGGGCCATTTCCTTGAGCGGAGGAAGGCCAAGAAATCAGAGCCATGGATGAAGAGAGATTTGGAAGGAGTGTAACCGTGTTATTACAACAAAAATAAGGTCAATGCCTAGAGTTAAGCTCACTTAGAAAGCTGAGGACCTCTTGCTCCCACACCTCCCTATGCATTGGGACAACGGTTTCCATTTCAGGATCAGGACAATTGGAAAGGATTTATATATATATTTTTTAAATGGTTGTCTGATACAGACTGGCCAGATTTTTTTAAAAATTTATTTTATTTCATTAATTTTAATGAACATTTACAGAAATTTTGGATTTCCATTCATTCATTGTTGCATTTTTCTCTCTGCCCACCCCTCCCCACCAGTTCGCTCTTCTCTTTGAAAAGTAAAAGAAAAATTCCTTCATTGGTATACAATCCCCGCCCCCCCAGTACACTCCACTATGCAACCTTAATTCTGGACTCTTGTGATAACCATAATACCCAATCATATATCGCTTTTAAACTGTTCTCTCCCTAATCTGTTTCAATGCAGTATACGTATCCAATTTTTCTGTCTCACCCCAACCCTGATGTCAGTCCTGTTTTACAACAGTGTCATTATGCAGTACTTGTCCTTTTGTGACTGAGATATTTCACTCAGCATAATGTCCTACAGGGTCACCCATTTTAAATAATATTACATGAGTTCCTTGTTTTTCAGTGTAGCATAGTATTTCATTGTGTGAATATACCAGAGCTTCTCTACCCATTTGTTTGTTGATGGGCACTTAGGTTGTTTCCAAATCTTTGCTATTGTGAACAAAGCCACAATAAACATGGGAATGGACTGGTCAGATTTTCATATTGCCAAGTAAGACCCTTTGAAAAAATAACTGTGGCCTCTTACCATTACTATGACCTCTTATCATTTTATTATTTTTGTTTAATGCCACAGAAGGGAGATAATTTAAATGTTTGAGAACGTGAGTAAATTTAATCTCATGAAAACTCACTTCAGGTGCCTTTAATGTCATTTCAGGCAGAGCAAATACATCAGTCAGTGGGCAGGGGTTTGAACTGGGGCTGGGGTTCTGACTCAGATGGGGGTGTTGTGGAACTTGTCAGTTTTGGAGTTCCCTCCTCTCGGGATCACTCCTGAGATGAGTGTTGGGTTCTGAGGCCACAGGAGGTAAGAGCAATAGCCCCAAGCCTGGCCCTCCTGGGACTTCACTGGAGTGGGTATGGGAGGCTGCTGCAGACTGGCCCTGTCACAGTCCTCTCACTCCCCAGAAGGTCCAAGGAGCCGGCCACCAGAAGCTGCCCATGAACTTGCTGGTGTTAGAGGATGAGAAGCACCATGGGGCTCAGAGCATGGCTTTACAAAAGGTCAAGGTAAGTGCAGCGAGAGCCCAGTGTCAGCCAGTGTTTGTATTCAGGGGCCTGGCCAGGCTGCCATTGTCTCAGTGCCCTGGTGCGGTTCTGAGGTTCATCAGAAACTACCATCCAGAGCTGCTGAGTTAGGACCTGCACCCTCACAAGGCCCAGGGAGCTGTGTGCCTGTGGTAATGTTGGAGGCTGTGGGTGATAGGCCAGCCAGCCAGTAGGCCACAGTGGCCACTCAGGTGAGCAAGACTTCCACGTTATAAAGACAAAGGTTCCAGACCAGTGTGAAAAGGACAATGCCTCAGAACATGTCATAAAGACTACAACTGTAGACCAGACAATAACAACTTGCAGCTCTCAGAGGACAAGGATTCTTCTTAACCTCTTATCCTACATCATTCTCTTCTCTCTCTCTCTTAACAGTATTTATGTATTACTTTTATGGACACACATACACTTATTTCCTTTTGAAAACAAAAATGGGATTTATGTGGAAAGCTGAGAATTCAGCTGACCCGTGCTGACCTGAGTGGAAGGTGGTCCTGGAGATTCTCTCATCTAACGCCCCACATTGTGTGCAAGACTGATGGAAGGGCACCCGTTAATGTGGCACATACACCCATCCCTACTGTGTGTCCGTGTTATGTTTTATCTGTTTCTCCTAGCCTGGGAAGGATGGGTAGGCCAAGTTCCTTCTCTCTTGAGTAACTGGGTCAGCCTCCCAAACCATCAAGCTTAAGGACACCCATCTCATGCTTCTCGGTGGTAGTTGATAGTTTTATCTCCACTCAGGGCCAAGAGCGCGTGCGCAAGACATCCCTGGACCTTCGCCGGGAGATTATCGATGTGGGCGGGATTCAGAATCTTATCGAGCTGCGGAAGAAACGCAAGCAGAAGAAGAGGGAAGCCTTAGCCGGCCCGCAAGAGCCGCCCCCGGAGCCGGAGGAGCTCGTAAGGGTCCTAGGGAGGGAGGACACATGGGTGGTCAGAGGCAGGACGGGGCGAAGAGGGATAACGAGAGGCGAACGCCCCCTGACCGGCCTCACGCCGTGCAGACCGGCCCTGTGGATGAAGAGACATTCCTGAAAGCAGCAGTGGAGGGGAAAATGAAGGTCATTGAGAAGTTCCTGGCCGATGGCGGTTCAGCTGACACCTGTGATGAGGTGATGCCCTGCCCCACCCTGGGAACTGCCTCTCTGTCAGTTTCAACCCCTCACCTTCCCAGACCCTGAGCAGGCCATCTACAGGCCTATGTAATGATGGCCTTTCCCCCTCACAGACATTTATTTAAATCCTTCTTCCCATTTCCACTTGACCCACCTCCAGAGTAACAGATGTCATGTGTTTAGTTAGGAAATGTTGGAGAGGAATGGAGTAAAGTAAGAACCCTGAGACCAGGAGACCTGGGCTCTCACCCTGTCTCTACCTGTCAGTAGGTGTGTGAGCCAAGGCTAGCCGTGTCACTTACCTGTGCCTCTGTTTCTTCTCTGTAAAGTAGCCTGCTTACTTCCCTCACAGGGCGTTGTGGAGATCAGGTGGCATATTATAACATGTATTTACTAATGAGTGAAAACAATTAGAAAGTTTTGCTAGAGTAAGACTTAAGGGGCAGTGATGGTTCCGTGGTAGAATTCACACCTTCCACATAGGAGACCCCAGTTTGATTCCAGGCCAATGCACCAGCAGCGTAACTACCACTCAGAGGCTTGGATGCTCCTGATGCTGAAGATGTCTTACCAGATCTTCAAGCTAAGGGGTCACCCACCTTCCTGCTGCATTTTTCTAGGCTTTGACCAGGTGTCCTTCCCATTCTTTAGACTCTGGGCCTAACTCTTGGTCTGTCCAACCATCTCCTACATGCAAACACTGTGCCAGGTGCTGGGGGCACAAAAAAGAAAAGACAGAGGTTGAGAGTAGAGAGAGACTGGGCACTCAGCCAGATAATTAGAAGGAAAGGTAAGTGCTGTGGGCTGTGTTTCAAGAGCCCCCAGGAGAGATGGGGCTGGACTGGCAAGGGAGCGCTTTGTTTCTTCTTCCATTCAGTAACTGCTGTGCTCATCTAAGCCCTGTGCTAGACACACAGGGGAAACAGCCCAGCACGATCCAGTCTGTCTTCAGAGCGAGAGTCTGTCTGGCCCTAAATCAGCTCTGGCTTAGAGGCTCCAATGAGTTGATAGCTCTCACTGAGTTGCATCGAGGAGGAGGAGCAGAAATTCATCAAGCACAGAAGAGGAGGGCAATGACTGTACTTGAGGCACAGAGTTCTCAGGGCAGAGGAGGGCTCCAAGGCTGCTCTGGATGCTGCATGAAGGAGCTACAGCACATGGCAGACAGGAGCATCCAGCACCTTGAGACCCTTCAGAAAATACACCATTTAGTAAATACATGTTGAACAGAGGTAGAGCCTGTGCCTCAACTCAAGTGGGAGATGGGTGCAGGCCAGGGCCAGACGGAGAAGCCTGACAGTCTCTCTGGGGGCAGTTCCGCCGGACAGCACTACACAGAGCCTCCCTGGAGGGACACATGGAAATCCTGGAGAAGCTTCTGGAGCATGGGGCCACTGTGGACTTCCAGGATAGGGTAAGAACACAGGTTATTGGGTGGGAGGCAGGAGATGAACCCAGCACCAATAGCCCCTCTGCTTACAAATCTGTATCAAGCTGACACAAGCAGGCTGCCTCAGAGGGAGAGCCCACCTTGAGCAGGTTGTGTGATCTTGGACAAGCTCCATCTCCTCCCCGAACCCTCTCTGCATGTCTGGTTTAGACTAGCAGTTCTGCGTGGCCCATTGACCATGCACAGATTTTCCCTGTCCTTCCCCTGGAGAGCCCCCTGCCCTCTTTGCGGAGTCTTTTCCCCCTGGGTACTTCTTTCCCTGCAGCCATTCAATCCCCTCCTTCCCTCCTAGCTGGACTGCACAGCCATGCACTGGGCCTGCCGCGGGGGCCACTTGGAAGTAGTGAAGCTCCTGCAGAGCCGGGGAGCAAGCACCAACGTGAGAGATAAGGTGAGGCAGCAGTCCTCCAAGGACTGGGGTGGCCATGTGTCTGGAGGAAGGAACCCTGGTGGTGGGTGACATGTTGGACTGCTAACCAAAATATCAGCAGTCTGAGCCTATGAGAGAAAGACGAGCAGTCCTCTCCCATCAAAAGGTATAGTTTCAGAAACCAAATAAACTACCATGAAGCAGAATCAGCTTAAAGGCCATAGATTCATTGGATGTGTTTCAGTCCACAAGGGGCAGGAAAGTAGTAAGCTAGTCTGGTTTCTAGAATGGGTAAAAAAACAAGGACGCTAAAGCAATGTCCTGTTAAACTTCCGACATCTTCAGCCCAGCCCCAGGAGGAGCACCTCCTGGGATGGGGCAGGAAGAGCAGAAGAGAGAAGGAAAAGAGAGTATTAGGGACCTTGAGACCATTCAAAAGATACACCATTTGTTCATCCAATAAATCCTTCATCATTCTTCCATCTGTTTCTTCACCTATCCATCCATCAAGCTATCAGTTCACCCACTAAGCCATCCATTAACCTATTCATCAATTTATTTATTCATTTATCCACTATTCATTCATTCATTTCATTCATTCATTCATTCATTCATTCATTCATTCATTCATATGTAGCTTTGACCAGGGCCTTAGCCTTTCAGTTCTTCATCTGCAGACTGGCGGAAATAATACCTATAGTGCAGAATACTTAGGAAGGTAAGATGGAAAATGGATGTAAAGAAATGTATCCATTCCATATAAAATTAAGAATCTCTGGTCCCTAGTGGATAAAGAGTTGTGCTTCCAACCAAAGGTAGACTGTTTGAATCCACCATTGACTCCCCAAGAGAAAGAATGGGCAATCTTCTCTTGTACTATTTACAGTCTCCGAAAACTTGCTAGAGGGCCAATTATGAGTTGGTTCCTACTCTACAGCGAAGAGTTGAGCTTAATATAAAACTATAAGCTTCTGGGGAGCTCTGGTGGCCTAGTGGCAAGAAGCTGCAACTACAATCCCAGAGGTGCACGGTTCGAATCCACCAGATGCTCTGCTGGGGAAGGAGGGGCCATCTCCTCCTGTACCAGTCAGATCTGATTTGACGGTACACACACACAAAAATAATAAAACAAAACAAAAAACCCTATAAGCTTCTGTAAGTTTTTGCACCGTTTATCACAGAATCATCTCTCAAAAAATCTCATCTACTATGAGGGGGAAAAAAGTTCAGAGGAATGAGTGGTCACTTGAACAGCTGGGTAGGAGGGAGCTCAGAGGTCTTCCCAGAGGTGGCATTTTGTAAGTTGGAGTTAGACCACTGGATACAATGGTGGGAAACTGTACCACCTTGCAGCTACAGGGCTCAGACTGTGGCAGTAGGACTTGGAGGCAGGACGAGGCTGGACTTAGGACAGTCCTATAGGTGTATCACAGTTAAGCATCCCCAGCAGTTTATTTTTACTCCCCACTTAGCTGCTGAGCACCCCGCTGCACGTGGCAGTCCGGACAGGGCACGTGGAGATTGTGGAACACTTTCTGTCCCTGGGCCTGGACATCAATGCCAAAGACAGGGTGAGTGTCCAGCCTGTGTCCTGCCTGGCCCCATTGTGGGAGTGTGGGAAGCCTGAGGGCTCCAGCATGGGAGTGGCCCTCCCCCTTTGGGTCCTTAGCACTGCTGGCTCCTAAGCAGGGGCCCTCGCCCAGCTCCCACTCCCATCCTGCTGCCCGTATGGGCCATGCTGAGTACCATCCTGACTCTAGGAAGGGGACAGTGCCCTGCACGATGCTGTGAGGCTCAACCGCTACAAAATCATCAAACTGCTGCTCCTGCATGGGGCCGACATGATGACCAAGAACCTGGTAAGCTGGCTTCTTCCCAGAGTCAAGAATCAGTGTGCATGGCTTGTCCAGGCCCCTCTGTGTGAGGCACATGGAAGAACCTGAGTCCAGCAAGATTCAGCTGACCATTGAACCACTCCCCCTGGGGGTGCAGGGTGTCTATCTGGGCCCCTAGGGCAGTCCTCAGCTAAGGACAGCTATCAGCTCTGGTCTGTCACCACAAAGTCAGAAAAGCATGGTTCTCTTCCAGAACCCTATTCCAACCACCAATTTCCCAGCTTTCTCTGCATGTCTGCCCAGAGTGTAAGTGCAGAGGGACAGTCAGGAGGGGCAGCAGGAAGGTTTCCCACAGGACCACCCATTGACCAGCAAAGGGTCCTAATGCCTACCAAGAGGGTGGCCAAGATCTGAGGGGCCTCAGCTGGAAAGAGCTTTAGCACATAGCTGACACAACCATCCCAAACTCTTCCTTAGTCCCTGGCAACCCTGGAATTCTCTACGGAGTCGATGTCCTCTTATACAGTCTCTTCATTGGAGTCCTTCCGGTTTAAAAAAAAAAGGCAGGAAGATTTGGGGAGCTTGGCATCACTGGCATTTGGGAAGGGATAATTCTTTACTATGTCTTGTAGGCTATTTGCAGCATCCCTGGTCAATGGCAAGGGAAGGCAGTACTGCTTACCCACCCCCTGATGAGACAACTAAAAATACCTCCACATATTGCCATTCACTTTTAGTTGAGAATCACTAGAGTAGGTGAGGCCAGCTCCTGGTACAGACTCAGAACATGACCTGACCTGCTCTTGGCTCCCCCAGGCAGGAAAGACCCCCACGGACCTGGTGCAGCTCTGGCAGGCTGACACCCGCAATGCCCTGGAGCATCCTGAGCTGGGCTTGGAGCAGAATGGACTGGAGGGCCCTGCTGAGGGTGGGCGGGAGACTCCAGAACCAGTGCCAGTGCAGTGAACGCCTGCCCTGCTCCCCTCCCCATTCCTGTGCACAGCTGAGGTGAAAGTTAGCACCCCAGAGCCCACTCAGAACTGCGTACCCAGAGCTTCCCTGGCTTCAGTGGTATTTCTTCTCTGAGTCCCAGGACGCTACCACAATAAAAGTCACTTTTGCTATTTGCGACATTTGTTTCCATTTGTGTCTGAGATCCTAAGAATGTAGGAAGAATGGGGACAAGGGTGAACTGTGGGGAGTGGGGAACTTGAAACCCCTTGGCTCCCTGCACCAGCTCTGCCTCTCCTGCTGCGGGCTTTTGCCTTGCTCCTTCCATTGTCACTTGTGTTCCCAGTTTCCACGGCCAGGTTGCCTCTGCGAGGATCAGCTTCCCCTTGCACTCAGCCCAGGATCGCTTGCCCCTCGCTGTCACACGAGTCAGTCACGTGGACCTCTGCAGGAGGAGCTTGGCGGGGCGGGGGCGGGGCAGCGAGGGGCGGGGCGACCCCAACTCCAGCTGCTTCGGGTCCGGCCACGCCTCCCGCAGGGCCGGGCAGCCTCAGCCAATCCGCTGAGTCCGCTGCAGAACTGCCAAGCGGAAGTCCAGCCAGGCCTTTGGCTTTGGGCTGGGAATTGTAGGAGGAGGGCCTTGACTCTGCTAGAGACACACTAATCTCAGTGGGACTCCAAGAACCAGCCCTCTGTGTAGCCAGAGGGGTCCCTGAGTTGTGGCATTTCCCCAGCACAAGGGAAGAACCTCACTTCTGATCCTGGGAGCTCCCAGCCCAGGCCTGCCACAGTGTTCACGAGTCAGGGGCAGCAAAACTTTAACTCCGCACATTGATCATTAACGAGACACGAAGGAGTCCAAACTCAGACTCACCTGAGGGCAGAGACCAGCTGGGCCTCAGGCCTGCAGAGATGTTAAGCTCCTGGGTCTGGTCCTCCATGAGGCTAGGGCTGAGCAAGAGCTTGTCCAGGAATGTGGGGGGCCGGGTGTCAGGGGAGAGGAGGAAGGTGGACATTGCAGGCATCTACCCTCCACTCACCACCCCCTTCACTGCTACCGCAGAAGTGGATTATGGGAAACTGGAGGAGAATCTTCACAAACTGAGCACCTTCCCCTTCAGAGGTAAGTGGGTCTTGCCTGTGGTGGACATCATGGGAGATGTTCAGACGTGCTCCTCAACCGGAAACGGCGGAATGGTACTCAGGCTCCATGGGGTGCCTTGCGGCTTTTCAGGTGGCCTGGGTCGGTTTCTTAGGGGCGAACGGGCACTGGTCTGATGGAAATCTTCCTCCGAGCCTATGACCTTGGACTAAACTTCAGTTTCTTTAGCTATAAACTGCAAAAGTGCCTTCTTGGTGCTTTATTGCAGGGATCGAACTAAAATGGGTAAGAGAGCCCTTGGCGACTAGGCCTGCCTGCCTGCCTGCCTCATCACTTCCTCCAAGTCTTGCATGTTCTCTTCTGGGTAAAGCCTTCCTTGGCTGAATTCGTTCCCCTGTCTGACTCCTGCATTGTTGTTGGTAGGTGCCATCGAGTTGACAAAGGATTCCTAACAAGTCTGCAGACAACAAATCTGAAGTTTGCCTTATACTGCACCGCCTGCACTAGCTCTGATACACTGGAGGCCATTGTTAAGTCACCGTTAACCCATCTTATAATGCTGTCTGATTAAGTTCCTCCTTTACATGGGTCAGATCTCTGAGGCAGGGGCCAGATCACATTTGTGACACTCAACACCCAACAGAGTCATAGGCACAATAATAAATGAAGGTAGAAGAAAAAAGAAATTCGGTTCATCCTTTCTTGCCTGTCCTCTTCAATTACCCATGACAGTCCCCTGAGGGAAGACTCTCAAAAGGCCCACTTCACAGAAGGGAATCTGAGGCCCAGAGGTAGGAAGTCACTTGCCCAATGGCATTCAGCTCATACATAGCTGAGCTGGTATTTGAATCCAGGTCTGCATACATGGCCCGAGTTTCACTCCACTGCACTCATCTCACTGAATTGGTAGTCTGGACTAATGGGGCCCTTTCAATAAAGAGTCTGGTTGGAGCCAGCTTTGGGAATAGAGTGACCGAGGCCAAGTCAGTGTATTGTAACAATGAAGAACGTGGACTCTGGATTCAACTCATACCTCTGCCAGACTTAGCTGTGGGATGAACTCTCTGAAGCTTTGTTTCCCCATGTAACACAAAGGAGAAATAATGTCCATGTCGTAGAACGGTTGGGAAGGGGGGAAAAACAATGAGGATGCAAGTGAACTCAACTCTTGGCCATCATGTCAGAACTGAAACCTAGCTGACACTCCAGTGGGTTTTCAGAGCCTATAAATCACATGGGAAGAAATTTCCCATCTTTCTCCTGAGAAACAGCTAGTGGATTCAAACTGCCTGCTTTTGGGTTAGGAATAAAACTTTTTAGCCACTAGGCCACCAGTGCTCAGCCTGCTGTAAATTGTAAAGAGTGGAAAAAAAAATTGTAAAGAGTGATAGATATTCAATCACATTGCCGTAGAGTAGTTTCTGACTCCTGGTGGCTCCATATTTGTCAGAGTAGGATTCATTCCAAAGGGCCTTAAATGACTGCTTTTTCTCAAGTAGATCAATAGGTTTTTCTTCTGAGGTTCTGCATTGCCTTTGAGTGGACTTGAACCTCCAACCTTGTGATTTATTTTTTAATTTTTAAAGAGTGTGTGTGTGTGTGTGTGTGTATGCCATCAAAATTGGATCTGACTGGTACAAGAGGAGATTGTCCCTCCTCCAGCAGAGAATCTGGTGCATTTGAACCACTCACCTCTGGGATTGCAGTGCAGCTTCTTGCCACTAGGCCACCAGAGCTCACTCAACCTTTTGATTTATTAATGCCTATCAAAATAGTCAATAAAATAATGATGCAGTTGGGCATTGTGGCCAAACTGTTTTATGATAGTGGCTGCTGACCTGGCTGTGAACACACTCATCTAAGCAGTTTTGTGATGTTATTCTTTATGAGGGGACAATGAAGGCCCTGTGGACACCCCCACTGTGAGATGCGACACGAGCTCTCAACAGATGCTCCTGGGAATCAGCTTATTGTGGCCTAAAGGTTTGTGATAGAGTCTGGTTCTCGTGAGGTAAAATGCCTCTAAGAGTCTGAGTTTCTACTTGAACTTCAAAGGCGCCCTAGTATGAGAGTGGTGGAGTGGTCTGCCTACCACCCAGCAAATCCATGGAGACCCTTCTTCTCTCCTTCCTACACTGGCCGGGACTTCAATGGATGGTGCAGCTGCAGAACAAATGAGCCCGTACTGTTTTCTTTCTGGGAACTGGTGCAAGCTCCTGCTCGTGCTTCCTATCTCCCCCACGCAACAGGGAGCTCCTGGCTGTGCTTGGAGAGCCCAGTATCTGGAATTAGATAACCCGGGTAGGAATCCTGGTTCTGCCAGTGATGTTGACCTGGGAGCACTCTCTTACCCTCTTTTAAACCAGTTTCCTCATTTAAAAATGGGGACTGAGTGGTCAGCCTGCTGACTCAAGGGTTCAACATGTTCCAAGGAGCAATGACACAGAATAGAAAGCCATAGGGGCTTGTCCCTCCTCCCAGGACACAGCCAGAACCCGCCAGAAGTGATCAGACAACTTTAGCTCTAAGATCTATTTCCTTTGCCCTATGCTGGCCTTTGAGACAGGCTTTGCAGCCGACACTTGTGGTGAGGGGGGAACCACTGCGTGGCACACTGCAGGGGCCTCCGGCAGTAAGTGAGCAGCCAGTCCTGTGAGAGAAAGGGAATCCTGCCCCTAATGAATCATTGAGCAGAGATTCTTGAAGAGGGCACTGTCTGAAATGATGTCACACTGTATTTTTTTAAAATATTGTTAATTTGTACTGATTATTTGAATAAAGAGTTATCTTCCAAAAGAAAGGTTGTAATAGAGACCTGAGATGAGGGATGATTTCAGGAGGGCCATTGGCCCTGAACTCACATGCACAAACAACCTCAAAGATGGACTTTGAATTGTTATTTCCAAATGAGGATGATCACAGGGCTGGACCGGCAGAACTGGCAAGGTCCCCAGATAGCGTGAAGCTTGTGTCTATTGCTGCGGTACAGACAGTACCTCCGGTATCTTCTGACAAGATAAAGTTGTTATTGTTGTTGTTATGTGTGGTCGATTTGCTTGCGATTCATAGTGAGCCTATGTACAGCTCTGAACCCTGCTCTATCCTATGCCAACCTTATTGTCTCTGATACACCTACCCCCGTTACCCCAGTCAGTGAATCAGTCCATCTCATTGAGGGTTTTCCTCTCTTGCATTGTCCCTCCACCCTCCCAAGCATGATGTCCCTCTCCAAGGACTGGTTCTTCCTTGCAACATCCCCACATTATGTTAGATGAAGCCTCAGAATCCTTACCTCCAGACGGCCTGTTTGTTCTCCTTGCAGTCCATGATATATAGGGTATTTTCCTATTTTAAAATCATTACTTTGTGGATTGTTTCATTTTTATCTATTCAATACTGCACATTTCTTCCCTCCTTCTCCCCACCTTCTCCCCCAATCCATTTGGCAATATATTTCTTGTTCCACATTATTGTCATACATATAATACCTAATTTCTTTCATACCATTCTTCTTTGTTAAATCAAATATTCCATTTAAAATAATCACAATGTAGGGAGCTCTGATGGCCTAATGGCAAGAAGCTGCACTGAAATCCCTAAGGCACATGGTTTGAATTGACCAGATGTTCTGCTGGAGAAGGAAGAGCAATCTCTTCTTGTGTCAGGCAGATATGATTCTAGGTACACACCAAGAATTTAAAAAAGAAAAAAGATAAAATAATCACAGTATTTGCAGTTTTATTTTGGCACATCTTCTTTTTAAAATATGTTCTTTCTAGAGGAAAAGTTAGGGCTCATCTCTTGTTTAAGAGGCTGTGGTGTAACCGAGGCTCATGAACTAGGCCCTTGTTTTTCTGTACCTTGAAAACACTCTGGTTCCCCTGACTCACAACCTGATCCTCGCCCTTTTCCTGGGGTAAATTCTGAGTTTCCATCACTAAATCACCAGACAGCAGCCCCTTCTCTGGGAAATGGGACAGTGAAGTCCTATCTGTTTCCCCAGCCCACTCATGCTTCATGGTTCCCCTCAGTTGTGACCTCAGGTTCTTCCAGAATGAATTTCCAGGGGCCCATTTCTTTCTGGACCTTGCCCTGGACTGTGGCAGAGATCTGTGCATGGAAATGGAATACGCTGAGCTAGCAGTAGAAGGGGTTCTAGACTGGAGGGAGACATGTGCTCCAGTGGCCAGGAATGGATGCCCACACAATCTGGGAAGTCCTAATGCCTTGGCCAGCCTTTGGTCCCTAGGGGCCACCAGGCCAGGAGAAGGAGAGACAAGAATAGAAGTAAGAAGGATTGCATTATAAACTGGGTCACAGAGTAGAAGACAGAGAGACTCAGATTTCTACTGACCTGGAGTCTATGGGATGTTGGATGTCACTTGAGAGACAAGGACCCAGTCCTCAGGCAGTGCCCACCAGGGAGGATTGAGAGTTGCTGTGGCCTCTCCCCACCCCACCCTTCTGTCTTCCTCACAATGGGCTTCATTGCTGAGGTGGGAGGGGCCCCCTAGAGAGGGTACAGCAGGGGGCCTGCCTGTCAGATGACCCTGGAGAGGCCTGCCTTTCAAGCATGAGCCAGACCACCAGGGCTCCCCTCCTCCCAGCGTGCTCGTAGTTCTGCCTGCCTGGCCCGAGGTCCTGGAGACCTTCTTGGAGCTTGCCCAGCAACCATCATGCAAGGTGGTCCTGGCGGCTGCCCTCGTGCTAGGAGGTGGAAGCCTCATGCTGTGGATTCAGAGGAGAAGGAGAAGGAAGAACAAAGCTGAGTGTGCAGACAACTTCAAATCATCAGAAGGCCACAAAACAAAGAAAGAGGACTGGATCAAGTCTCACTTTAGCCGGCTTTCCGATGAGAAGCTGGTGACCGCCAGCCATGCTGCTCTTCCCACTCCTCAGCTGGAGAATGGGGACGGAGAGGCCGCCAAGATCCATGTGGAGACCTTCGCCTCGAGGCAAGGAGGCAGAGGCCGCTCTTTCTGCCAGGAATCTGTCACCAACAGACAGCGGACAATGGGGTCCTCGGTGATCAAAGAGACCAGCAGGGACTCTGGGATGTCTTCTTCCGCAGATGAGGACACCTGGGCTGCAGTGGCTGCCTGCACCAGGGAGATAGATTATAAGGGGCAGCAGGTGGCCAACTCCATGCTCCAGCGATCCAAGGTCTGCCAGCAGACAGGCTACCTGGAGTCAAAGGACAGCAACCTAGAGGAGCTGAAAGCTCTTGAAGAGGTACAGATGAAACGGAAAGGGAATTTCCTTATCCAGCGAGAGAAAACTATGGCTGGCATGAGCCACTCTCCCACTCTGCAGAGTCGGAGTCACCATGGCCACCAAGGTCATCTGGGCTCCCTGAGCCACCAAGGTCATTCGGGCTCCCAGACCCACCAAGGTCATCTAGGCTCCCAGAGCCACCAAGGTCATTCGGGCTCCCAGACCCACCAAGGTCATCTAGGCTCCCAGAGCCATCAGAGTCATCCAGGTTCTCAGAGCCACCAAGGTCATCCAGGTTCCCAGAACCGTCAAATTTATTCAGGTCATCAGAACCTCCAAGGTCATCCAGGTCACCAGAGCCAGCACGTTCATGTAGGCTATCAGAGCCACCAGGTCTATCCAGGTCACCAGAGCCTCCAGGGTCATCCAAGCCAACAGAGCCACAACCGCAGCCACCAGATCTATGACTCTTTCGAAGCCGCCTAACCATGGGTGGAGATGCCCCTTTCCCCAGCAGGGCTGGCACACACACTCAGGCCTGTTCTCGTTCCTGTGTGGTAACCTAGGTGGCCAGGGTGATGTGCCATTGCCCAAACTGTCTCTTCTCTAGCTTCCCAGGGCTCAAGGGCCTCTGTAACTCCGTGTGTGGGGTCAGCCCTAATGTTGGGACAGCTGAGAGGCAGTGAAGCAGCCAAAACACACCGAGGCTCCTAAAGATCCACCGAGAAAAGACAGACAAGGCAGACCCCCAGGAATAGCTGGGAGCCCACAGTGATGCCAAATGCCTGGACTGAGCCAATAAAGCCTTGCATGCCCTCATTCTGAGTCTAGGGCTCTGTGGCAACCTAATGTTTCGGCAGGGAATGGGGAGAAAGCTCTTCCTCAGCAGTCCTCTGCACAGGGGCCCTGGGCTGGGGTATTTACACTGGACTCTTTGAGACTCCTTAAAATAGCTCCCTGGATCTCAGCTTCCAGGGATGGGTCATCTCCAGGGGACTCAACATTCAACTAGTCAGGGGCGGGGAACATAGGTGTTGGGTGAAGCAAAGAACTGGGCTTTAAGAATAGGATGAACAGATAGGGTAGGGCGTATGCACCCTGCACCCTGTCCTCTTGGTAGCAGCCTCACCCTGCCTGTTTGTCATCAAGCGACATGGCATCTCACAGTGCACTTCTCTTTCCTTGGCCCAGCTGCTTCTCCAGGTCGATAGCGGTATGTGATTCCCTGTTGATGCCTTCCCTCTACCTAGCTTAAAAGCAAGTATGGTGAGACTTCACCTCACTACTGTGAGCTTGCTGCCAGGATGCCAGTCCCTTGAGAAAGACGTCATTCTTGGTGCAATAGTTGTTGATTGCCATCGAGTTGGGCACAACTCATAGCGACTCTATGAACCAAAGACCTAATGCCTTTCCATCACTGTCGTCATTTCTCCAAGTTCATAGAGTTTCCAGAGGCATGTGGTTTAGGAAGTGGATGCCGCTCCTGCTTCCAAACCTGTGAAAAAGAGGAAGACCTTCAACAAGTTGGGGTGACACAGTGCAGCAGTGGGCTCAAGCCTGACAGTGGTTGTAAGGCGGGGGCAGGATCGAGCTGTGTTTTGTTCTGTTGTACACAGGTAAACAGATGGGTATGAGTAGGAACCACCTCGACAGCGCCTAACAGCTACCACCTTCAAAGTCACTGGACCAATATAATATCTGTTCTTATTTCTGTTGCTTTTGCGGTGTCTGCTGGGCCCACTCCTCCTATCACTAATACTGCTAACAGTGTCCTCTTTTTGAGTGTTGACTGTGTTGTGCTCTGTGTTCGGTGTTAATGTAAAGCCACAGTCCTACGAAGGCACTATTATGTTAGCTCTCACTCGACAAATGAGGAATCCAAGGTTTAGAGAATTGTGCTGAGATTATATATACAGATTGTAAGTGATGTTGCTAAGATCAGAACCTAGAGCTGCGTGATTCCAAATCCAAACCACTAACTGTATCCTGTACAGCTTCCCAGGCTTCTTGCCGCCATTCTCAGCACTTCCCATCCTCACTCTGTCTCTTCACAGATAATCTTGTATTTTCCATGCACTCATGGAAGCTTGTAACTCAAACCACCGCCCCCTCCTGCTTCCAAAGAAGCCATTTCTTGGATGAGGAGCGACCTCAAAACAGTTAAAGTAAGGCAGCTCCTTGTATTGTAAAATTGTCAGTGACAAAGCGCTGTCTAATTCCACATGACTCCTTGACAAAGAAATTTACCATTTGGATCTATGATGGTTTTACCAGTGGCCTGTGAACCAGTAAGAAGAGCGTTGGGAAGTGGGAGGAGGAAATACCCAGGATTACTGCAAAGAATGGATAAATCCATGTGTTGTTGTTAAGTGCTGTCGAGTCGCTTGCGACTCACAGTAGCCCTATGTACAATAGCCCTGAAACCTGCTCTATCCTGTGTCAGCTTTACTGTCTCTGACACACCTACCTTCATTACTGCAGTCACTGAATCAATCCATCTCATTGAGGGTCTTCCTTTCTTTTCTGTCCCTCTACCCTTCCAAGCATAATGTCCCTCTCAAAGGAATGGTCTCTCCTTGCAACATGCCTGAATCCTTGCCTCCAAGGAGCAGCCTGATTTCATCCTCTCTAGGAAGAACCTGCTTGTTCTCCTGTCAGTCCGTGGTATATTCAACACTCTTTTCTAGCACCACAGCTCAAAGGCGTCAATTCTCTTTCTATCATCCCTAGTCATTGTCCAGTTCTCTGATGCATAGCAAGCAATTGTGAAGACTATGGCTTGCATCAGATGCATCTTAAGTCTCCAGAATGATGACGCTGCTCTTCAGTACTCTGGAGAGGTCCCTGACACCTGACTTTCCCAATGCAACTTGTCTCTTGATTTCCTGACTGCTGGTAGCAAGAGTGTTGATTGTGAAGCCAAGCAAACTGAAGCTGTTAACAATCTCAATTTTTTCACCATCTATCATAATGCTTCCAACTGGATATCCACTGTGAATATTATAATTTAATTTTATAGAGCTGAGAGGGGTACTTTAAAATTTTTTTACATTTCTAATTATACACACTTAGCCTCATATATGCATATGCAAATATAGAGGCTTAAATTGTTAAGCACTCAACTACTATCTGGCCGTTTGAACTACCTAGCAACTAGGGAAAATGCTCTAGTGATCTGCTCTCATAAAGACCGCAGTCAAGAAAACTCTAATAAAAAAATCCTTCCGCTACCACCCTGTTTCCCAAGGTTGCAATGAGTCAGAACTGATGCCACAATTTTAGACATGTAAAGTTATCTATATAGCTTTGTGTATCTAAAAAATTTCTTAGGAAAAAAAATTAGGGTCACTCAAATGGGAAAGTTTGAGAGACTGCTAAATTAAAAACACACAAAAAGTGCATTTTGGCTTCTGGAAGTGATTTAGGACATGTGCACGTATCCGGAAGACATCAGATCCTTTTTACGTGAAGTCTTAGCCAGTCTGGAATCTTAAGTTTTTAAACTGGTAAAATTCGGACAAGTTCTTTAGCTAATAGTATCGTACTAATGTTGATTTTTTTCCTGGTTCAGATAATTGTACAATAGTTACATATGACGTATACTTTAAGGGAAGCTGGGAGAATAAAACATGGACAGTCCCTGAACTATTTTGCAACTTCTCTGAGAATTGAGAAGCAGTTCAGAATTAAAAGTGAAGGAAGTTTTCAGACAATTTGGTTATGAGTACACAGCCAGGTTTTCTGATAGTTGTACTTTATACAACTGTATAGTTGTATTTTCCTGTAGGGAAAATATTCACCAATTAGCCAACTGGAGGATCCATTCTTGGTAAGGCCTTTTTCTAAGAAAATACAATGACTGGGTGATCATTGTTGAGTTAGATACAATGAAAACGTGTAGGCTTGTTTCAGAGAAAGCCTAATGCTGCTAAAGTACATCAGGAGATAGCTTAAGCATTTTATCTAGAACGTTAATTTCTTCCCACAGGGGAGTTATGAATAACGTCATTATATAAAGATTCTGTCCAAAGCTGCAGTTTGAGACAATTTTTCTTTTACACAACAAATTGCCAAAAGGCACTGTATTGGGTGTCTTGGAGGGGGTACCATCTATGATCTTGATGATTTAGACTGAATAAGACAGACACCAAGTGAGAAGAACAGGAAGCTGTGGGGGCCCAGGAGCAAGGAATTGAGGAAAAACTGTGTGACCCTCACAGTATTCAAGGTACTTGAACTAGAGAGGTGCTCAATGTTGAAGAGAATGGTGAGTTAAAATGTAGAACAGGAAGGAGGCAGTGTGTGTGAGAAAACCTGACCATTTGATTGAAGGGGAACTTTTAGAATTAGACATGGGATGAGAGAAAAGACCTGAAAAATTATTTCGAAGCTCTATTACCAAGGATGACTTCAGAGATCATCCGATCCAATTCCCTTATTTAAAGCATAGGCCAGAACAAGACATCATGCCTCACCCTACAAGGTGAGGAGTGACTTGAAAGACCCTCAGGCCCTCCATGCAGGTAACAAGACATTGGGAAAAGTTCAGAGAAGAGCTGTCCAGTGGAAGGATCCCAGAAGGACTTCTTGGAAGAGGTGGCAATGACGGCAGACCACGTGATCTGGGATACTCTTGCTGGAGGAGAGACCATGATTCCTCTTGCCACTGTGAGTCACTATGCTGTTCATGCATCCTCAACCCTCTGCCCAAGCCACTGGCCCTCCTTAGCATCAATGTAACTATGGGGGCAGGGAAGTAACTTCTGAAATGAAAATTACCCTCTTTGATGTTACCTCTGGGGGGGGGGCGCCTGAGAAGTTCTTGAGTGTTGTCTCCCCTTGAATGTCAACCATCCTCTTCCTCCTCCTCCTCCAAAGAAAGCTTCTTAAGGCTTGAGCATTTTCTCCTGAGGTTGTAATACTTAGAGCCTCCCCTTACTGAGTCCCAGCACTTCACAAATAATATCTCATTTAAACCTCACAATAACTCTGAGGAAGGTAGTGATAGTGCTCCTGTAGTGCCTTTGAGGACGTTGAGGTTCCATTAGTCCATTTGCCCAAGATCTCATAGCTGATGAGGGTCCCCGTGAGACTTCAACCCTGGCTTCTCTGGCTCCACTCCACTCCATGGCCTGCCCAGAGCTCTGCAGCTCTCTTGGTTCGGACCCCTTCCCAGGCAGGGCCTTGTCCGTCTCTCCTCTAACCCCTCTATCTGAGAGGAGCCTGATCAGTTAGGTCTGGCAGTGGACATCCAGCCAGGGATCAGGAGGGAGTTCGTTGTAGCAGTAGGGTTTCTATACCAGCTTTGCCACTGACTTTATTTTCTTTCCTCTCATGGAGCTCCTGATGGGTTCAAACTGCTGACCTTCTAGTTTGCAGCTGAGTACTTAACCAGTGCACCACCAGGGCTCCTTCCCTGGTGAACAATATCCTGTTGTGTTATATACTTTTCAACAAACCCAATTTATTGCAATTGAGTCAGAAAC